GGAAGGGGTGGCAGGGGTAGCATTGTCAGGTTTAGCAAAAAATAACAAACAAACCTAAAAACAGGATATCCAGTTAGAGTTGAATTTCAGATAAATACTTTTTTAAATGTAAGTTTGATCCACGCAATATCTAGGACACACTTATACACAAAAAGTATTTATTGTTTATCTGAAATTCAAATTTGGTAGCATTCTGTATTTTATCTGGAGACCCTGGTGGGAGGGATATTCAGCTCTCCCAATCCACTCACTCACTCACTCAATTGACTCCTCCTGCTTCCCAACCCCTAAGAACCCCAACAGTCTCCAGCTCTGCTTCCCAAACCTGGTGGGGGCTGACTGGGCTGGCGGTGGACGCAGATACACAGAGCTGGAGAGCAGAGGCGGCTTGCAGGAGCCTGGAGCCCCCTTCCCAGAACGCTCTGGGTCTCTGAGGCAGGTCTGGCTCCCGGGCTCCAAGGGTCTGGCTAGGTTTGTTAAATTCGCCGTTTCAGTTCCAGGCAACTGTTGAATGAGCCCTCAGAGTCTGGCTCTTCCCTGGCCTTAACCCTGCTCCCTTTGCCCTCAGGTGGGCTGGCCCTCTCCAGTACAGGAGAAAAAGGGGAACCTACCAAAGCCCTCCGGAAAAGAGGAAGGTACAGCTTGCGGGGTGGTTTGAGTGAGGAGTGGGGAAGAAGGCTTGGCCAGGGGCTGAAAATGAGGAACGCTGGCCAGGCAGGACCTACCTGGAGGTCACTCCCTCTGCTGCCACCAGTGGAAAGAGGATCCAGAACAGGTGGGGGCTTTCCAGCCCAAGCTCACCCCTTTCCTGGGAAGGAAGGGGGGGGTAGGCAAGGTCATGAGCACGCAGTGCCTCACTGCTCCAGCAACACCCCATGGGCCAGACTCAGCTTCTCCCCTAGGGTGATAAAGCATATTGGATTTTGTGGGTGGCCCCACCTTGCACTGGGAGGTCTGGGGGCACAGCCACCTAGCATGGGCCTGGGCAGGGAACTGCTACCCCAGCCTTCTTCAGGAGACTTGTGTCTTTGCAGACTCAGAGCCTGATCCCCACAGTTGCTTCTTCCTGCCCCTGACTCCCTTTCCCACCCATGTGGGTACCTCACAAAAAGGAAAAGCGATCCACAGCAAGCTTAGTTCACGGCCGTGGGAAGCCCTTTGTTTTAACCAATGAGACCCTGGTTTCTGACCAGGAAGAGGTTAAGGCAGTAGATTTTCCAGCCTGTCTGTCCACCTTCAGTTAAGGGGGGTGGGGGGCACTGGATGCTGGTCAAGGTGTGATGGAAGGCAGAGGAAGTAGGGCCCCGGGGAGGGTGCAGGCAGAGGACGGCCTGGGGAGGGTGTGGCTGCCGCGGGGTCCCAAGGCTTGAGTCCTGGGGGCGGGGCAGAACTTGAGGTCCACCACGCCTGGGAACCCTTTGTGCGCCCACCACAGGGTGTGGCCTCTTTCCCCAGCAACAATGACTCACAAAGCCAGCCCGTGCCGGGCACATGCCGCCTCCTCCGGACCCTGGAAGGCCCAGGTCACAAAGGCCATTAGGGCCAAGCCCTGAAGAGGCATGTCCCAAGGCAGCTCTGCGCAGCGCTCACCCCTGCAGGCGTCCGCGGGGCCGGGCCTGGGCCTGGGCCACCCGCCGCCACCCCCGCCTGGCGACTGGGCGTTACAGCTCACGCGGAGCGCCCCGTAGCCTCGACGCCCATGTGTGTCGTCTGCTTCGTGAAGGCGCTGGTGCACGTGTTCAAGATCTACCTGACCGCCAACTACACCTACAACTTCCGCGGCTGGCCTGTGGACTTCCGCTGGGATGAGGTGCGCGCCGCCGGCGGCGGTGGCAGCGGCCACCGCGCGCTAACGTGCGCGGCGGCCGCGGCGGGCGTGTGGCTGCTGCGGGGCGCGGCGCTGGGCGGGGACGCGCCGGCGCGAGCGCCGCGCGGGGCGCGCAGCCAGGCGCAGTGCCTCCTGCAGCAGATCCGCGAGCTGCCGGGCCAGCTCGCCAGCTACGCCCTGGCCCACTCGCTGGGCCGCTGGCTCGTGTACCCCGGCTCCATGTGCCTGATGACTCGCGCGCTCCTGCCTCTGCTGCAGCAGGGCCAGGAGCGCCTGGTGGAGCGCTATCGCGGCCGGCGCGCCAAGCTGGTGGCCTGTGACGGCAATGAGATCGACACCATGTTCATGGACCGCCGCCAGCACCCAGGCAGCCAAGGCCGAGGCCTGCGCCTTGTCATCTGCTGCGAAGGCAACGCCGGCTTCTATGAGATGGGCTGCCTGTCGGCGCCGCTGGAGGCTGGCTACTCGGTGCTGGGCTGGAACCACCCGGGCTTCGGGGGCAGCACGGGCGCGCCATTCCCGCAGCATGACGCCAACGCGGTGGACGTGGTGGTCAAGTACGCGCTGCACCGCCTTCGCTTCCCGCCCGCGCACGTGGTGGTCTATGGCTGGTCCGTCGGGGGCTTCACGGCCACCTGGGCCACCATGACATACCCGGAGCTGGGTGCGCTGGTGCTCGACGCCACCTTCGACGACCTCGTGCCGCTGGCCCTGAGGGTCATGCCCCACAGCTGGAAGGGACTCGTGGTGCGCACCGTGCGCGAGCACTTCAACCTCAATGTGGCCGAGCAGCTGTGCCGCTACCCAGGCCCCGTGCTGCTGCTGCGGCGCACGCAGGACGACGTGGTCAGCGCCTCGGGCCACCTGCGCCCCCTGCCGTCCGGCGACGTGGAGGGCAACCGCGGCAACGAGCTGCTCCTGCGTCTGCTGCAGCACCGCTACCCGGTCGTCATGGCGCGGGAAGGCCTCGCGGTCGTGACGCGCTGGCTGCGCGCCGGCAGCCTGGCGCAGGAGGCCGCCTTCTACGCGCGCTACGGCGTGGACGACCAGTGGTGCCTGGGGCTGCTGCGCTCCTACGGCGCGCGCCGTGAGGACGAGCGGGAGGAGGAGGAGGCCTGGGGGCCCCATGGGCTCGCCTTCCCCTGGCTGGTGGGCCGGGGCCTGAGCCCGCGGCGGCGCCGGCAGCTCGCACTGTTCCTGGCGCGCAAACACCTCAAGAATGTGGAGGCGACTCACTGCAGTCCGCTGGAACCAGAGGACTTCCAGTTGCCCTGGAGGCTGTAGTTCTTGTCCCTGCAGCTGCTGGCAAGCGTGCGGGTGCATTTGCGCACCTTCAGGGCCTCAGGTCCTTACCCTCCCCACACCCCGAAACCAGTAACGCTGGCCCTGCCTGGGGATCCCGACCTGGTGTCTGAGGGGGGTGAGGCAGAGCGTAGGGAGCCTGTCCTCGCTCTCTCTCCCTCACGGGCGTTTCCCCCTCCCTTCCTCAAGTGTTTCTCCCTCAAACACTTGTAGATTCCAGTCTGCTCCTAAAGAGAATGTAGACCCAGTTTATGGCGACACTGTGTGATGGGTGCTTTGATCACCTCAAAAGGATGGTGGGAACACGGGCTGTGGGACCCCAGGAGGTGCCCTTAGCCTGGCCTCGGGTACAGGATGGCTCTGGGTTTGGACAAGTCACCCCTAGCTGTGAAAGAACACTAGCCCTGGAAGATTATCAAGCAGGTCTCAGCAGCTAGACCAGACCAGGAGAGTGTGATGCTGGGCTCTTAGGGTCCCCTCCCCACCTCCACCTTCCTGGCTTCTACAGGAAGGGACAACAGACTCAGAGTAACAGGTACTCACAGGGGCATGTCCGTGAGGGCTACAGACACACCCGCACGGACCATTCACTTGCTTGGCATCCCCTTGAGCCAGGTCTGGGCTGGGCATTGTTCCTGGCTCAAGGGTGTAATACAGAATGAAAGACAAGCCCTCTGCTCACCACCATCTGTAATGCAGTCGCTACTCTACCATCTGCCATGAACTGCATGAAGTGGGGACTAGGGCTAGCCAGGGTGGGCTGAGCAGGAAACCGCAAAACTCAAAGAAGCCAAGTGGGGCAGACATTTAATTGACAGCACCAGAGCAAGACATGGCCACGATGCACCTAGGCCAGTGCCAGCCAGAGTAGGTGGGTACCTAAGGTGACCTTAGGTGCCAGGAAGACACCTGCGGCGAGGAGGAGCTATCCAGGTTCAGGAAGGGGCTTCCATGCGGAGGGATCAGTACATGCGGCGTCGCTTGGCTGGAAAGGGGGAGTGCAGTCCTGAAGGGTTTGAATACCATTTAGGGATTTGCTTCCAGTGGCAATTAGGAGCCAAAGAAGGGAAGTTTGGGGACTTGTTTTAGCGAAACCGGGTTGTCTAGTGGTTACACACCTCTCCTTTGAGAAGTCCGGCAAGCTTGCTCCAGCGTTTGCTGGAAGCCCCTCAACTAGCTGAGTGGTCTCGGACAAATTACTCTAACCTCAGCCTCCTCATCTGTAAAGTGGGGAGGGCTCCACCTGGCTTCCCGGGTTGTGTGGAAAGGAAATGAGAGAACACCGAGGTGCTCACGGCGCAGGAGCACGAAGGCTGCCCTGCAGGCGAGACGCCTCCAGCCAAGTCAGGGCAGCGGCGCCTGCAGGGCAAGAGGACGAATCGCGGACACGCCTTTTTCTGCGTTACCCCAGACAATTAAAAAAAATAAAAATCCCTATAAAGAGGAAGGACTTAAAAAAAAAAACCGAAGGGAGAAGCTAATCCCAAAGTCAGGGGTCGGGTCTCAAACGCATCTCAAGCGGTCTGTGCGGTGCGTTAGCCATGACACTCCTAGGCAGCGGCAAACACCCGCGACGTCTCCAAAAGGGCCCACCCTAGGCTTCCCTGGCGCCATGTTGGACGGTCGTCCCACTTCCCACCCCCCCCGCGCGCCTTCGGACCTTTCTACTTGCGAGTCTCGCTGGTGGAGCCGACGTGGGAGGGATTCCCTCAGAACCCGACCTCCCTTTCCGGCTGCGTCCGCAGCCTCGGCCAATCAGACCGGAGCGGGTAATAGGGACGGGGCCGAACAGCGCCCTCATTGGACACCGTTGGTGGGGGCGGGACGAAGGCGGGGCACGCGCCAAAGCGGAAGTGAGCCGTCGCGTCGCTGATTACGTAATGCCGCGGTGGCTGAGGCGGTTCCGCTGGCCGGTGTGTACGCGGCGGGCGAGTCCAGGTGCGGCCCGCTCGGCTTCTCCGGCGCCCCAGACCCCGGCCGCGACCCCCGCTGCGGCCCGGCCGCCGCCCGAACATGGACTCCGCCGGCCAAGGTACCGCGGGCCCGGCGCCTCCGCCCCTCCCTGGCGGCGCGTCTCGGACGCTCGATCCCCTCCGCCTCAGTCCGCCGCGTGGCTCCTCTTCCGCTGCCCGGCGCCGGGCCTCGGAGCTCCCGAAGGCCGTGGCGTGCGTCCTCCGCCCTCGGCTTGGGCCGCTCCGAGGACCGGTTCCCCGCCACCCTTCCCCTCGTTCCCAGAGTTTTGGGCTTCCGCCCTCGGGGCGGCTCGCGTCGTGCCCCGGCCCGGCGCTTGCCTAGTCGGCCGGCCTCCGTCCCCACGTAGGACCCTCGAGGACCCGCCACCTGGACCTGGACCTGGACCTGGACCTGGACCTGGACCTGGGCAGACGTGCTGTGCGCCTCTCCCGGGGCGGGGAGGCGGGATGGACCGTCTTCGCGTTCAGCGCAGCGCCCCTCGGGTGGCAGCGCTGCTCGGAGCCCAGGCCACTTAGGGGTTGTCTCAAGGGGGGAAGGGTGCAGTGAGTTAGGGGCACAGCCAGCACACCAGGCCTGTTTCCGGGACACCCCGACCGGTTTGGGATGGCTGCTGGGGGTGTGGAGGGGCCCAGATTAAGTCTTGAGAAGGGGATTCGACTCGGACTTCCATTCTGGGGCCGTACGGAAGGGATGCCAAATTCCTGTGTTGACGTAACTACCCTGGATGATTTTAGGGTTTTTCTTGCCGTTTGTTTAATTAATATGCTGACACAGGCCAAGATGCCTGGGTTCTGGTACGTTTTGTAGGTTTTCCTACTTTGCAGTCTGCTTGCAAAGTAGTTGAGCATCCAAAGCCCCTAGCTCTGTTAAGCTCAGGAGGCTTTTCACTGTTTGACTTGCATGTCTGATTTTGGTAAGCATCACAAGCACTGGATTCTGACCACAGGAATGATGGAAAGTACTTACTGAGCACTTACTGTATGCCAGATACCACACCAAACCTGTTTTTCAAATGGCCTTTTTTTATTTTCAGAATAATCTCTTGAGATTGTTCCTCGTATTTTCTGCATGCAGACGATTATACAGTTCTGCAGAGCTGGGACTCACCCAGGAGGGACTCTAACCCCCAAGTTTCGCCTCCAGCGCCAGCCCCACCCTCACTGTGTAGGTCTTTTGGTGACAGGGCTGTGCTGAGGTCATACCACACAGAATGACTGTTTCGCCTCGGCATGTTTGCTAAGTGCCCAGTCTCTATCTGGGGGTGATTCCTGTGGGGTCCACCTTTAGCTGTATAGGCAGAATGTCCAAGGGCCTTCATTTTTTTTTTTTTAATAGAAGAGAAAGATTGTGGCGATTTTAAGGCATTTAGCGAATTTGAGCGGGTTCAACATAGCAGATACAAATGATGAAGTAGAGCCATGTAGGCTGATCTCCGTTGATTAAGATGCAGACGCGCTTCATGTAGTGAACGTGTATTGAGCACCAGGGACGTGCTAATCTCCAGCTGTGTGGGGCATGTGAAGGGAATAAGCTAAATAGAGCGTCTTTGGTTTTAGGTGCAGTCTAAATATAGCAGATTCTAGGATTTCTACAGTAGAGAAACATCTGCAACAAGACACTTTTACTTCTTTCCAACCTTTGTGACTTTATTTCTTAAAAAGTTCATTTACTGGGCGCCTGGGTGGCTCAGTCATTAAGCGTCTGCCTTCGGCTCAGGTCATGATCCCAGGGTCCTGGGGGGTCGAGCCCCGCATCCGGCTCCCTGCTCTGCGGGAAGCCTGCTTCTCCCTCTGCCGCTCCCCCTGCTTGTGTTCCCTCTCTTGCTGTGTCTCTCTCTGTCAAAACAAATAAAATCTTAAAAAAAAAAAAAAGTTCATTTACTTTTTTAAGTAATCTCTACACATGGGGCCTGAACTCACCACCCCGAGATCAAGAGCCGCATGCCCCTCTGACTGAGCCAGTGAGGCGCCCCCTATGTCTTTACTTTTAAATATGCTAGACACCATGCAAAGCCAATTTTCCTGGCATGTGCTGATTGCGTAGTACTGCAGGACAGCCATGGGTTTGGAGCTGGGAAGAAGTAAAGCAGACCCATGTTTTCTTGTGTGGGATCTTGTCGACTTTTAGTGCAGACAGGAAGATGCTTTTAATTCAAAGAGAAAATAGTGACTGTAGGGCTTGGAACCTGATCTGGGTGTCGCGGAGGTGTGGAAGCAGTGTTCTCTCTGCGCCTCACTGCCTGTTGCTGTGGAATGAGGGTTGAGCAGAGACTGCAGGGCATTTTGTTTTGTTGACCCCCTGCTGGGGCTGCATGACCAGCACATGCTCCTTGTGTGTAGTTTAGCATGTGCTTTGCGGGTAGGTTGGTTGAAAGTGGCGCTTGTTGTGTTTACAGCTTTATTAAGTTTCTCTGCTCTGAAAACTGGAAGATCTGTTAGGTCTAACTGCTTTATTTGTAGCAAAGGTTCCTATCTCAGGAGCATGCATTCTCATGGGAGAAGCAGAGTTAGGGTCTGGCTGCCTTGTGCCAGCCTTTCTCATGCCCTGAAGTAGCACCTTGGGTAGCCTGAGATGCCCTTGGCCTGATGGCCAAACCATCCCTGCAGAACCTGTCAGAGAAGGGGTGTTGGTTCTCTCCACAGTTGCCCCCAACACCCATGACCTGTCCTCTTACCCTTGCTTTTTTCCTTGATGGAGACCTCTTCCCTGTCTACTTCTTTGTAACTTCTTATTGACGCTTTCCGACCTTATTTGTCTCTGGCAGATATCAACCTGAATTCTCCTAACAAAGGTCTGCTGTCCGACTCCCTGACAGATGTCCCTGTCGACACAGCATTGGCTGCCCAGACTCCTGCTGTTGAGGGTCTGACCGAGGCTGAGGAGGAGGAGCTTAAGGCTGAGCTTGCAAAGGTGCTGTGTCTTGGCTGTCTGTCTTGGGACCATGAGTTCAGGCCCCCTCATTAGCCTGAGGGGGCCAGAGTGCTAGCTGTGCTCTGCGGAAATTGCCCTGGGAGGTTATTCCTAGAGTCCCACAGAAACTGCTCTTCGTGGCGGCTTTGTGTGTACTTGGCGCCTCATTAAGTATTCCAGGAGGAGAATGTCTACATGGGGACAGCTGCTCTGAGCACACCATCTATTGGGAGTGTCTTTGTTGATATTAACACTTGACAGTTTCCAGACTCCACAAACTCTGTTTCTGGATCCTCATTTTTCTTTTAAAAATATTTCTTTTGTAAAAAGTGCTTCATGTGATTTTTTTTTTAAAGTGAGTCCTTTAAGAGGAAATGGTAATTAAAAGTCAGAATCTCCAAGTATAATTTTTATTCATAGCAGCTGCCAGGAATGTTTCTTTTTATTGTATGGTACAGAATCAAATGGTAACTCACTTGGGATTCAAAATCTGGCGACATGAACTTGCTGGTAATCTGAGTGTACCATCCGGTCCGGCAGAGGCTGGTGCACTGCCTGTCACAGGCCTCTGCTCTGTCTCCAGAGATGAGCCCCGTGTTGATGCATCCTGAGTCTGAAAAAGAGCTAGCTCTGCAGATGAGCCTCAGCCCCACGACCAGGCTTCAGATCGTGGGGGAGTACGTACAGCTGTTTCTGAGTTGAGTGCAGGTTAGGGGGCCACAGCAGGCAAGCTTTGCACTAGGTCATTTCAGAGCTGAGCTGCAGAGTGGAGAAGCTCAGTGTCACTTAAAATTTTCAGTGTGCACTTCCCCCAAGACAGCTGGATTGCACACCCTCAAGCCCTGTCGATCGTCACACCATGGATGGAATGTTCCAGTCAATGGTCGTTACTGCAGAAGTAACTGGTAGCAGTCCGGCCTTAGATGATCCTATGTTTGTAAATTATTTCCTGTTTTAACTATTTTTTGATGGAAAACCTAGTGATATAAGGGCTCTGAGCTACTTTTTATTACCTTACCCCAAACCATCATTTTTTTAAGAGAAGGACTTTTTTTTTTTGGCAGCTATTGACACAGGAGCTGAAAACAGACCTCTGGAGTCGTGAAGCTCTAGAGGATGTTTCTTTTTCAGGTTGCATCCTTTTTTTAATTTTAGGGCCTGAGAAGGTTCAGGTCTTTATTGTCAGGATTCTTTCTGTTATCCGATTCAGACTACCTTAAGCACAAGGCTCAGGTAACTGCCTTTCCCGCAACCTCAGGAACATACATGTTGTCATAAGGGCTGTTGCTGTGCCACCCATCCGTCTGTCAGTTCCACTTCCTTCCAAGTGCAGGTGGGGCCTGGCTGCAGCACTTACAGCCTCTGAGCCTGGAGGGAGAGGGGCTTGTCTCTTCTGACACCTGTGCCCAGTCCCAGGGGAGAGCTCGGACAGGCCTTGCTTGGTGATCCGTGGGTGGGCACAGTGATTGGTAGCCCCACCGGAGCCACTTGGCTTGGGGGGATGGGACAGTCCTCCTGAAGAAGTTGGATAAAAACAGAACAGTTGCTTGACATAGACGGACTCTGTTCCTCAGACAAGTTGTTTCTGTAAGCAGAAAGTCCGAGAACTCTCTCATTGCAGTGTGTGTGAGGATGTTGGTCACTTCCCGCAATAGTGGCAGCTAATCACATCGGCTGTGTCCTTTTACAGGTGGAAGAGGAAATTGTCACTCTGCGCCAGGTCCTGGCAGCCAAGGAGAGGCACTGTGCTGAGCTGAAGAGGAAGCTGGGCCTCTCTGCCTTGGAGGGCCTGAAGCAGAACCTGTCTAAGAGCTGGCATGACGTGCAGGTCTCTAACGCGTAGGTACCTGCCCTGCGGCACAGATGCCTCTGACGGTCGGAGGGTGTGCACCAGAGCGGTGCCCCTGCTGCGTCAACGGGAGGCTAAGTACCAGGGGACTCGGTATGCCCCTGTGCTGGCAGCCAGCCAGAGGCTCTGAGCCCTTGACCTAGCAGCTGGTATGTATCCAAAGAGCTCAGAGTCCATACATATTTTTAAAAGGCCGATGGATACACTAGCTAGTTGTCGAAGCGGAAATTGACAAGAATGTATTTAGGGTCCAAATTTGAGAGAAAGCTCATTAGGTCCTTAATGAGACTGATTTTCCTGTGATCCCCCATAGCTCACTGTCTGCTGAAGTGGACACAAGTCCTTCTCATGAGCATGATGTGGTCACAGCCCCAAGCCCTCTGACCCAGATGTGACTCAGCTCTCTGAACTTGGGAAGTGTAGCTACATGGCTCTTCTGAAATGTATCCTCCAGGGTTTGGGGGGCGGGGCGTGGGTTTGGGAAATGTTTCCCCCTGTCTATAAAGCTGTGTCCCTGCAGGAAGATTGAATCGCATTTCATCAAAGTCACCTACAAAAGCCCATTTCTCGGTCCCAGGGAATCCTAGGTTTTGAATCCCAAAGGGTGACTGGCAGAGAAGTGTTTGGGGGCCATGGGCTGTGTGTGCCTTCCTTGCTCCTCACAGCAGTACTGTTCCCTGAGGGCCATCTTACATGGAGTGACCAGGCACTCCCTAAGCATGATAGGAAAAGGACTGGTCGGTTCTGCCATCGCCTCACCTGGCCTCAGCAAGGCCTGCCCAGCAGGTGTTGAGAGGAGGGGCAGACCCTGTTCTCAGGCAGGCTGGAGACCCACCATTCCTGCTATCCAGCCCTCGGTGCTCCCTGGAATTTCACCTGTAGTTCAAAACCTTAGTTGAAACAGTTGTTCTAAATAATTTACCACAGACTTTCTGTTTTTAGCTATATGAAAACTTCTGAGAAACTTGGAGAGTGGAATGAGAAAGTGACCCAGTCAGACCTGTGAGTGCCTTTGCTCTCAGCACCTCCCTCCTCCTCCTCTTCCTCTCGACACTCCTTTTAGGGACAGGGAGGCTGTGTGCACTTGGCACAAACCTAGTTTTAGTGTTTGGGGCTATTCTATTTTTAATACAGTTTTTTTTTCTTAAACACAAATGAGAGTGTAACTCTCATGAAATGGGTTTAGTCGCTGAAGGAAATTTCCTCAGCCACCAGACCACACTGAAAACCTCCGTCTGGCTGACATGGATGCGTCCCTTAGATGAGAGGCCTGGCTGGGCTTGGGCAGCATCTCTGGCTAGAAGGCGCCCCTCACCTTGCGAGTGGGCAGAATGGCTGAGCACCATCTGGACTGGTGCTGATGGTGATTTGGGGCTTTTTTTTGGTCTTCTCTGCCCTGCAGACCTAGCTCCAGCTGAGGGGTATTCTCAGAGCTCACTCATACTTAGGGGTGGTTCTTGAGTGAGGGCTGCCACACAGGCCATGCTGGTGGGATCTTGAAGTTGCGTTGGTCTGAGGGGCACAGAGCTGTCAGCCACACAGAATATTAGCAGAGTAGGGAACACACGGATAGGTTTTCATGTCCGTCAAGGCTGTAGTTCAGAATGAGTCCTGATGTTTTATTTGAGATCCTTACACAAGTTAATAGCACTTCTTTTATCTGTGCTGCGGTCTGATTATAATTCCTTTGAACTGGATGAGGTAACATTTTAAAATAGTGGTTTCTGGGAATCTTGTTGAGGAGGAAGTGCTGTGGTGTCTCCAGAGAGCATGACCAACAGGCCTCTGTGTCTGACTGGAAGGAAGTGGTTGTGACCGAGCTCGTCTTCACGGCACCTGGGACCCCAGGTCAGCTGGCTCTGTGCTCAGAGTCTTCGCAGCCTGGTGTCACCAGGGGAGCTGGGTGCCAGGGCGCTCTGGCGGGTCCCGCCGTTCGTGTGGTTTGGTGTGACGGCTGTCCCCGCCACGGCCTGCTGTGCTGTGTCTTCGGGGCTGTAGCGGACGATGCCTTCACGGTGTTGCAGCTGTTCTGGAGGCTGAGACAGTCGCTGTCATCTGTGCAGTTTGGGCACCAGGCAGGCTCACGGTGTGGACTTAACCTAAGAAGAGCCTTAGGAGACTTTAGTGCTGTTTGTAAAACCAGGTGACATAAGGTTGCTGGGATATGGTTTCAAATAATTACGTGGCTCTGGGCATGGAAGTGGCCGGTGGGATGGCCCTTCCCAAGCACCTCTCCAGGTGGCAGCCATTCCCCTGAGGCCTCACCCCCAGTTCCGTTGGTGGGAGAGTTGCCAAACCGAAGCCCCCAGAGCGTTTCTGCAGGGATAGCCCAGGGGGAGGATGACCCAGCTTGTGGTCGCTGCAGGAGGCTGCTGGCGGGGTGCGGCTGCCCTGAGGGCTCTCTCAACCAGCAAACACATCTGTGCACTGGCTTTCATGAGGCCGTGCTGGGTGTAAGCAGCGTTCTCTTGGCTGCAAAGTGGTTGCCATTGGGTTCTATCTATTACTAGACGGAGCTAAACTCGTGCAGAGGGGGCACCAGGTAAACTCCGTGGCCACTGGTTGGTATGTTGAGTCCTTCAGTTGTACGTGACGGAAAGCACAGACGTGGATGGTGTCAGCCTTGTCCAGCTCCTCCTTCCTGGTGCAAGGGGGTGCCCGGTGGTGCAGGTTTGAGTCTTTGTAGCATTGCAGCTCAACAGCAAGAGGGCCTGGTGTGGGTCTCACTGGACTCTCACTGTGGTCGGGGAGCTGTAAACTTCCCTGGCCGTCCACACTGTGATCATGCCCACCCAGACTTGGAGGTGGGAGCAGCCCCCAAGGGAAGATCCTAGAGCAGGTACCTCCAGCAGATGCCCACACTGACTATGATGGGAGGGAGCCTGGTATTTGTCAGGATTCTACACTTTTGTTTTCCTAAAAAGGTAGTAGTAATTCTCAGTACCAGGGTGGCTCAGCCTAGCGCTCTTGAGCACGTCTGGGCCCAAGTTACCTGCATACAGACTCTGACTCTGCCCCTAGCCCTGTCATTGCCTGAGCTTGGCCTCCCCGTCAGGGTCCCTGCACTGCATCTGCCCTGGTTTGGAGGTTCCCGTCTCTGAAGGAGTCACTTGTGACCCCTCATTTCCACACCCCAGAAATACTGAGGGTGGTGGAGTGTGGGAGATCACCTCTGTTTAGTCTCCAGCAGGGGTGCTGCCCTTCGCAATGGCCCATAGCAAGGGTCTCTCCTGTCTGTTGTCTAGTGGCTGGCTCCAATCTGAGTCACCCTCAGGATGCTGCTGCTCGTCACCGGCAATCCGTCGCACAGGCTCGTGGTGTCTCCAACTGCAGTTTCCCTGTGGGCACAGAGATTCTCTACGGACTTGCCCTTAAATCCTCTGTTTCACTTCAACAAACACGTTCACATGGTCTTACGTACTCGTTATTTCACAAGAAACGGCTTGAAGACGTTTACCGAATTTGTTTCTGAAACTAAATAACACATGCCATCAGTTACCTCATACTTGGTGTTTTTTGTTTTTTTTTTAAGATTTTATTTATTCATTCGAGACACAGAGATACAGAGAGAGAGAGAGAGAGCACGAACAGGGGGAGAGGCAGAGGGAGAAGCAGGCTCCCCGCTGAGCCAGGACCTGGATGTGGGGCCCGATCCCAGGACCCTGAGATCATGACCCAAGCCGAAGGCAGATGCTTAACCATTTGAGCCACGCAGGCGCCCCTCATTATTTGGTGTTTTATAAATAACAGCCGTGGCTCCCAGTCTGTTTCTTTCAGATAACCTGTCGTAACTCACTTTTAAATGAAAGCAGTTCGCCAGCTGGGGGTGAGGGTGACAGGGCCCAAAGGGTTATCACAAGTTAGGGGTCCCAGAGAAGGTTCTAGAGCCTTTCCGTAGCAGGCTGTGTTGGGGGTGTGCAGCATGTTTCCCCTTCTCTTTATTGTCATGGCTCTGCCAACCCTGAGACAGACTGTGGTGCAGGTGGAGGCTCCTGGCCAAGGCTCCGTCAGGCTGGAAGGTGCCTTGGCCATTAGGCTGGAAGGTGCCTTGGAGGGCTACAGCTGAGGGTGTGGAAGCCCTCCCAGAAGGAGTGTGTGTGCTTTGGCTTCTGGTAGTGAGAACCGGCTGTGGCCGGCCCCTCTGCCGGGTGGCCTGTCTAAGTCCCGGCCGTGCAGCTCTCTGGGCCGCTGCAGCTCTCTGGGCCGCTGCTGCATGCGTGCTTGGATTTTGTTTTCATTCCTGTTCAGTTCTGTGATCATTTCTATTGTGGGGGAAGGGATTTCTGGGAGTCAGATTGTGCTAAAAGGGTTCAGAATTAGAGTTTTTTTAGTTACTTACTGCCTTCAGGAAATCCGGAGCAAATCTTACAGTAAAGATTTTATTTTAAAGTGTTTTAAAGATTTTATTTATTTATTTGAAAGAGAGAGAACAAGCAGTGGGAAGGGGCTAAGAGAGAGAAAGAGAGAAGCAGGCTCCCCGCCGAGCAGGGAGTGCGACGTGGGGCTCGATCCCAGGACCCTGAGATCATGACCTGAGCTGAAGGCACTCGCTTCACCGACTGAGCCACCCAGGCGCCCCTTGCAGTAAAGATTTTAGACTATTTTCTCTCCACCATCAGTACGTTCTGGGATTCGTAGACCTTCCTGGAAACTAAGATAAACTCACTGAAACTCACTGTTCTAGCGACGTCAACATGTTTTTACACTCATTGGCTAGAAAGCACATGTTTTTGAGTCCCAAGCCCTGCTGGGCACTAGAGAAGCCTGAGGCCCCATGGTGCCATGGGAGTGCCTGCCAAGTAGAGGGAGGCCCTCCCAGGAGTGTGCAAGGCTGGGCCCCCCCCACAGGATGGGGTGGCACGGGGTAGTCATGGCAGAACCCCACCTAGCATGGGCAGTCTACAGTGGTTGGGAGGGAGGGGGGCAGCAAGCACTCCCAGTGGGGCCTCCTGCAGATGGCACTGGGGGGCTGATGGGGGGTACTCAGAGGACCCAGTGGTGCTGTCTGACCTGCCCCCTGTGACCTGTGACCTGGTGACACCAACAAGGCGTCAGAAAGTGGTCACAGAGAGTAGGCTGGTGTCTCGAGAGCCAGGGCTGCCTGGTTGGCCAGAAATGAGCCCTTGGGTTCAGGCGGCTGTGTCTTTATGGTGGCAGCTGGACAAGGGCTGACAGCGCCACGTATTCGCTCTCAAGGTGGGCCCAACGGTGTCTTTGCCCTCTCTGGCCACTGCACGGACATTGAGGTCATGGCCACTGGTCATCCCAGAAGACAAACCTGCGTGCGGGTGGATGGGGCAGGAGGGCACGGAAAGGGTGGTCTCTGCTGTGATCCAAGGCTACCCTTTGCACTAAGAATGGTGGCCTGAGATGAGGGTCCCCCGGCTCAGAAAGGGTGTTGTAAGATAGCACGGGAGGCTGGGGGGCCTGGGGGGGGCTCCCAGGAGTCTACAGGCTGCATGTCCACGCTGTCAAGCGCATCCCCCCCCGGGCGTGGTGGAGTTTTGACATGAGAAGTTTCCCAAATAAAGTAACAGAACGAGGGGATTTTTCTGCCTTCTATCCCAGACCCAGGGCCCTTGTGGGTCTGTCTTCACTGCAGGAGGCAGACACTTCATGTCCCAGGTAGTCAGTGTTGTGGTGAGGAAGCAAGGGAAGTGGGCACCTGAGTTTTAGATGAGGTGGAGTGAGGTCAGAAAACGGTTGTTGCGGAGCTGGGAGGTTGAGACCTGGCCATGCCGCTTCGGTCCCCTCCCTGGTGGCCAGGCACGTGCTCACTAAGGGTTCCTGTCTCCTCCTCTTGGGTACTCTCTGGGCACTTGGCGTCCTTGGCTTATGGGTGGTGGCTGTTCCTTCTGTTGGGTTGGTTCAACTGGTGTTTCTTCTCAGCTACAAGAAGACTCAAGAAACTCTCTCTCAGGCGGGACAGAAGACGTCGGCTGCCCTGTCCACCATGGGCTCCGCCATTAGCAGAAAGCTCGGGGATATGAGGTGAGATGCTCTAGCTGCATGGGCCAGTCGGGTGAGGGTTTAGGGGTTCTAGAGCTGCTGGAGGCTCTGCAGGGGCCCAGGGCTCAGAGGCATACCCTTCGGGGGCCCCTTGGCACCCATAGATGTGGGCCCACCAGCCTGGACCAGTTGGTTCATGGTCCCTTGTCTGTGGGCTGCCTCTTTGCCATTTCTGTGTTTCTTGAGGGAGAGGGTCATTGATTCTTTTGGGTAACTTCTAATGCTTGGGATCTGTAAAGGCGGGTGCTTCCCTCTGAAGTTCCACAGAGGGAAGATGGCCCCCGTTTGGGGGTCAATGTCAGGGTGGGGCGTCACTCTGGGCAGGCCGGCGGGTTGGGGCAGGGGGTAGGGGAAGCGTATTGTTTTCTTAGAATGTTTGCCTGGCCCCAGTCTCAGAGAGTGTGACAGTGTGACTGTGTGCCAGGGGCCCCAGCTGAGTGTTCTCCCCCAGAGCTGATGAAACCTTCATGGCCATCGGAGGTGCCTCTTGAGCAGGGTCTGGGGCCAGGGAGTGTGGAGGCAGCTTGGACACTTGCTGGGCCATACATGGCAGCACCCACCCACAGCCTTTCCTGCCCTGGGCTCCATGGCCACACCCACCAGGTCTCCTTTGCTTCACAGCAGTGAGCCAAGGGGCTTGGACCCTGGAGCCTGAGGCCATGGTGTGAATCCTGGCTCGGCTGCCTCCTTGTTGTGCCCTTGGCAAGGCATCCCTCTCGGGATTATTAGGATGAAGCGTGCACTGCTGAACAGCAGTGTGGAGTGCACTTCGTTACCATTGCCAACATCCTGGCCGTTACTGCCCAGCCCTGCCCTGGCCCCTGACCCACACTCAGGACCAGTCCCCTCACTTTGGGATTTCAGAGAATGCCTCTCTGTGGCCCCCACCCTATGCTGAGGCTTCTGTCTTCTCACAGTTGAGAATCACACTGTGGTGATGCCTGTGGGCTTGGTGTGCTGAGTGTAGCGTTGGGGGTCCGTCCCGCTCTGTAGCCCCTCACCTCTTACCCTCGGGTGGGCTGCCTCCCTGCCTGCTTAGGTTAGGCATCTCCTCACCTCACAGGCCTGGCAGTTGCCTTGTGGGGCCTCAAGGTGGGGGCCGTGCCCTGGCCACATAGCCAGGGGTGACGACACAGACCCTCTGCCCCTCGGCTTATGCCCAGGGCCGTGCTCACCTTTTGTTTGTTTGATGGAATTAGCTCCCCTCCAATTTTTATTTTGAAAAATTTCAAATTTTCAGCAAGGCTGAACAGTTAGTACGCGGTCTGTGTGTTTCCTCTGTGCTAAGGAGTTCGCATTCCCACAGTTGGGGGTCTGGTCCTGCTCCTGAGCAGCCATGGCTGGGAGGTCCTCTGGTCCACAGTGGCTGTGATCCACTCGGGCCCTACCAGCCGTGGCTCTGAGTGGACCGCACGGAGGGTCACTGGTTCCTCCCGTAGGCTTCACGGTAGTCTGCTGATACTTGACTTCGTGGGTGTGTTCCTGTAACGAATCTCATTTGAAATTAGATGGGACGCCATCGCTGCCGCCCTCTGGGACACCTGCTTTGGCCCCCTGAGCCGTGCTGTGGTGAGCCCGGTGACAGACTGATCACGCCACCGGTGGCTGGAGCGCCACGGAGCAAGCCGTGTGTCGGGTTGTGCCCGTTCCTTCCTCGGAATGCTGGGCTGGGAACAGCATCTGAGGGAAGCAGCGACTGTCTGCGGTGCCTAAGTTACGCGCTCACAGGAGCGTCCTCTGTCACTTCGGGCGTTACTCTCCTCCGTGTCCTCACTCGCGTTCGAGTGCGTGCAGTGTCGGCGCTGCTGGGAATGGCTGTGGTGGCGCTGTCCTGGGCCACTGTGGCTCCGTTCCGCGCCTGTTCCTTCATTGCCGCTCCCGGCTCCAGGAGCTGGCGTGTCGCCTCCGGTCACGTGCCCGGCCTCCCTGGGCCTGCCGCGTGTCGCATCGGCACCGTGCTTCACACACGTGGGCCAGCCGGCGGGAGGAGCCGGGTCCCGTTCCAGGTGCGCAGAGGGACTGTCCCGTTTGCTGCTGTGCGTCACCTTGGGGCTCTTTGGTTTTATTCTGCTGTTTTCAGGGGCACGGTGAAGTCTGACACCTCCGGGTCCTCAACGGGTCCGCCATTGCCTCACCACGTGGTCTCAGGTGGTTTCTGAGGCCACGGCCTGTTGACCTCCCCAGTTTGGAGCTGAGGTTCAGAATCTACCACTTCTTGAGAATGAAAACGAGGTCCAGGGAAATTTATATATATTTAGACGTCTGCCGCACGTCAGTGTCCTCGATGGGCCTGTCCAGGAGCAGCCCTGGCCTGAGAGGCTTTTTGCGTGCCCTGGGGTACGAGGCGGCAGGCTGGGGGAGGGCATTGGATTTGGGTTCAAGCAGGGATGGGTCTCTGTCTAGCTTGGTGACTTGTGACAAGGCACCTGCCTTCCCTAATCCTCAGACTCCTCCTCCGTCCACCTGGAGATGGCAGGGCCTGCTGCCCACCCACATGGCCGTGTTGCTTCTGAGATGACCTCCGTGTTGGGGCTAAGAGGTGGTAGGCCTGGCTGTGTCGTGGAGGACATGGCTGTGTTGCCCTTGGACACCCGTGTTTCTAGGTTGGAATCTGTCAGCTGTACTGATGGAGCCGGAGTGCAAGGCGCTCGGCCCTGGGGGTGTCCCAAGGCCTGTTGCAGCGTATGTGTGTGCTCTGGTCCGGCTGAGGCCCTGTGGAGAATGCAGGCCAGTCTGTTGACGCAGAGCGTGTCGGCTGAGCCTGGCTGACCTGGGTTCTGGGCACACACGGACCCTGAGGGTGCTGGAGCCTGCCTCAGCACACCTCACACCTCTGCACTGCTCCTCTCTCTGTGGCTTCTTCCTTCTAACTCCAGGCAGGGTCACGGACATGCAGGTGCCTCGTCTGTGACCCAGGTGGGGTCGTGGAGGGGCCGGTCATGTGCCTCTCACAGAGTCGGGCCTTGGGGAGAGTGGAGACGGGGTGCATGTCCTGCTCTCCCTGGTGGTGTGAGGAGTGGGGGTGGTCACGGGGGTCCCTGCGTGGCCTCCCTTCCCTAACACTACGTTTCTTCTCCTCCTGCTGCCACCTCTCAGGGCTCGTCCGTTCTCACACTCCTTTAGGTAAGACTGCTGTTGGACGTACCTGTGGAAGGCTCTTCTTTGGATGCAGGGCAGGGTGGTGCCTGGCTGGCCTGTGGAGGCTGCGCTGGAAGAAGTGGTGAGGGCGCCACGGCCCATTGCTCACATAGCCAGGCCCGCCAGGTGTTGCAGCCTGCTCGAGAGCTCATGGCGCTCCTCGGGCTGTGACCATGTGGCTCATCGCCAGCCTCCAGCCCAGCCTCACGGAGCTTGTCCTGCAGCTCCCACCTGCGTGTATTCCTGAGAAGAGACCTACTCGTGTGGGAGGGTCATGCTGGCTCTCTCGCTGTTGTGATCTGTGCCTCTTCCTCCAAAACGCTGGCTCCTCTCCTGTTTTCTCCTCCCCCTGAGAAGCAGTCTTGTCTCTGTGAGTCGAGATGGTCTCGTCTGTCTTGTGAGAGCAGCCAGCAGCACTGGGACCCCTCGGGCATCCTCCTGAGGGGTCCTCACTCCGTGCTGATTCAGTCATGCTTTTCTAGCCTGACACCAGCTGCTCTGTCACACTCTTCTAGCTTGCAGGCCTGGAACCCAAACCCAGAACAACGTGTGATTGGAAATATTTTTACTTACTTGACCTGGTGGTTTCTGTTTTGCCAAAAAGTGACTTCATTTGCCGTGAAGTCAAGTAAGGACATTTGACAGTTATTTGGTTTTTTTTTGTTTTTTTAAGATTTTATTTATTTATTTGAGAGCGAGAATAAGATAGAGAACATGAGAGGGGGGAGGGTCAGAGGGCGAAGCAGGCTCCCCGCCGAGCAGGGTGCCCGATGCGGGACTCGATCCTGGGACTCCAGGATCATGACCTGAGCTGAAGGCAGTCGCCCAACCAACTGAGCCACCCAGGTGCCCCTTGACAGTTATTTGTACCAGAAGTATTTTTTAAAGCCCCAGGCCTAGGTCTTCTTAGTTCCCTATTTTAAAGCTCTCCCTCGGCAATCTCCCATTTCTGGGGCAGCTTTGGAGGCCAGGGAGAGGAGCCTAGGGTCGAGTTTTCCTCCTGGTGCTGGGGGCCCTTCCGTGTGTGGTGGCCAGAGCCCACCTGCCCTGCAGAGTCGGGTTTCTGTGTGGACGAGCTGATGGGCGTGGTAAATGCCAGGCTCGTCCCTGTGTTAACTTCTGCTTCCTTCTCTGCTTCTACCATGCTTCCGAGCAGCAGCTCTTCAATCCGCCACTCGATAAGTATGCCAGCCATGAGGTAATGTGCACTCGTGTCCCCGGGCTCTCAGACCGGGGTGGGCGCCGGGTGGGAGTGGGTGGCTCCTGCTGGTCAGCCTCCCACTTCCCACATCCCTGAGCCTAAGATCATCTTCCCCGGCAGCCTCCTGTGGGCCAGGGGTTGGAAAGATGATCCCTTCTAGGCCAAAGAGCTAGTGGGGGTGAGGCTCAGAGGTACCATTTTACCAAATGGGCTCCCCTCTGGAAGCTTCCAGGGCCGCCCATGGGGTTGGGCCAGGGAGGGGCGGAGAGATTCATACACTTAGGCGCGGCACCCAGGAGGCTTAGGGAAGCTTCATCTGTACCTGGAGGGAGTCCTGGTCTCCCCAGAACACCCGGAGCCGTGGCTTGTTTTTGCAGCTTCCCACGGGTGTGTTCTCCACGGTGGTGCAGCAGCAGAGCCCCTGTCCTTGTTACAGGAGAATCTGCCGCAGCTGCCACAGCCCACAGCACGTCTGGGGGTCCTTGACCGGCTGCCTCTGGAGGCCCGAGGGCCGGGAGGAGCCGAGCCAGTGAGGCAGGAGCTGGTTGTGGAAAGGGCGCAGGGTGGGGCTGGGCTGCCCTGCTTTCTCCTCCTCTGCCGTCTCCTCGCTCCCTTGTCCCAGAATTGGCCTTGGTTTTCCTTTGCTGGACTTCTGAGAGAGATTTGTGTCAGGAACACCTGAGACTGTTCATGACCTCAGTGTGTGTGTATTTAGGGTACAACAGACGTGTGTCCCACGTCCCACCCGCCGCCCAGGCGAGTGGTCTGCAGTTTGCCCGTGTGAAGTCGTGGGTTTCACCCACTGGCAGCGTGTAGGTCTGTTCTTGCAGTTGGCAGGTGTGGCTGCCCTGTTCTGACCTGGAGGCCTCCAGAATGACCTTGCCGGGACCGTCTTCAGGGGGCGTGCTCCCTCTCCTTCTTGGCTTGTCCCATATTTACAGGGAGGTCTCAGGACTCTGTCAGGGATCTTTCTGGAGGTTGACCCTAACCCTGAGGCCCTTCAGATTGAGGAAGGCAGCACAACCGTTTGCTCCCTACACTGACCTCTCCTCTCTCTCTTTAAAGGAATTCTGCGACCTTCAAGTCGTTTGAAGACCGAGTTGGGACCATAAAGGTAACGGTCTCTGGACCATTCACTTGTCTTGTTGGGATGGGGCATGATGTGTCCTTTACGTAAACTTACTTAGTCATTGTAGATGCGCGTGCAGTGACAGGAACTAATGCGGAGGGTCCTTGTACCTTTTACACAGTTTCCCCAGTGATCACGTTTTGCAGTAGGACAGCCAGGATAGGACATTGATACGGTCAAGGTGGAGAGCGGTTTCATCCCCACAACGGTCCTTCCTGGTGCTCACCTTCCTCCAGCCCTACCCCCACCATCACTCATCTGTTCTCCGTTTCAATGACTTGTCATTGCAAGAATGTCCTAGGATTGGAACCGTGTAGCGTGGAGCCTTGGAAGATTTGTTCTTACACTGCGTAAATCCCTGGAGATACTGCCAGCCAGCCTGTTGCCTGTGTTGGTGATTTGTTCTCTTTATTGCTGATCGGTGTTGACGTGGCATAGACTCCATAGAGAGCTGGACAGCTGGGGTTCCCGGCACAGGCCTAGGACCTGCCAGCATTGTGTGCTCTGTCTCAGGTTTTACTATCTTTTTTTTCTCGTTTTTTTTCCCCCATCTGTAGTCTAAGGTTGTAGGTGGCAGAGAGAATGGCAGTGAGAACCTTCCCTCCCCAACCGGGAGTGGCACCAAGCCCCTGCCCGATCACACGCCTTTCTAAGCCTGTCGCAGCTTTGCCCGGCCACGGAACAAGTGCAAGCACGTCCTCATCGGCTTGACTGCGACTCTGCAGCGCCGCGGCCCGCCAGGCCGCGGGCGGGCGCACGGAGCTGGCTTTGAGGATAGTCGTGCCACTCACATGTAGCCGTGGCCGCTGTGTTCGCATGAGCTTTACAGAACATGGTCTTGCACGCAGATGCTTTACACTGAAGTTGTAAACTGTCCTCCCTGGGGTGCGGGGAGTGGACAGGACAGTGGGCCCTTTGGCAGTCTTGTTAGCTCATGAGAACGTGGAAGGAACGGAGAGTGATAAGCATAAAATAAATGGTATTTCCTCAACCTCTCCTTTTGTAAGTTAGAGGAGGAATCTGCGGAAGGAAGATTCATCCAGAAAGCCCTACCGGATCTTCAGTTTTTATTTCAAACGCTAAATGAGAAAACTGTCCATTTTCTGAAACCCTCCAGAAAAGAAACTGGTTATCAGCAGCCGCCTAATTGTTACACTAACGATCTAGCTTTAACAAAAGCAAATTCTTTATTTTTTAAATGCAGTGAATTTTTCAAAAATTAAAGCTAAGCAGAGCAGCTTTAGCCTCAGTTAGAAAACATTATTTCTTTGGACTCAAGCTGAAATACAAGCCTTACATCACCTTATGCTTTATTTGTTTATGATGTTTTTATATATAAAAATAAGGGTTCTTTAGTGGGTTTTGAGCACCATGTAGACTCCTGCATCTAGCCCAAAGGGCAGCATGCCTGGACCGTTGGTGTGTTTTATTTCACTGATGCACATCATCCCAGTGTATGAAGCTTGCCTCTTTCTCCTCTCATGGACCGGGGCAGCTCCTGCTGGTCAGAGGGCTCCTGGGCCTCTGGGGGTGGGGGCAGGGGGCCAGGAGAAAGAAAAGCCGGCACCCTCCACGGATGGCTGATGCATGACTGGCCCTCGGCTCCAACCTGCCCATTTGCTGCACGCTGGGGACGAGTGAGAAGCAGGTGGCCCTGCATAGGGTCGGCTGGAACTCTGCTGTCGCCTCTTCTCAGGAGCTGCAAAGATCTTATTCCCGTTGTGAAGCTGCCACAGCCCAGCAGCCTTGCAGTCAGGACCCCACGCGTGGGGTGTGTCTGGAGGGGCAGCTTTCCGTGCCTTACTGGCTCCCAGCAGGCAGAGACCGCTCCTGCATATGCACCTGTGCACTCCCGGGTGGGGGGGCATGCGCTCAAAGTCCACTCTGGGAAGCTGAGTGTCTGCTCGTCCCTTCAGACGCCCTGGGTGGACTGCGGTCACCCCTGCTGACGCCATGGGAACAACAGCATTTGGTCTTTTTTCTTCAGGGTTAGAATCACGGATGGGGTGTAGTGAGAAAGCAGGATGCAACTGTAGTAACGGATTTATCTTGTCCAAAAAGTGGATAATGGGAAATTTGTCAATAAAGCATTCCTTTGGGGAAGAACCCATGTGAGCTTGTGTGGTACGCCTCACTTCATTTGTGAAGGTCAGGAAAGAGTGGCAGGTAAACCCACCGAGATCCTGTGCCTTGGGCCCACAGCTGGGGGAGAGGGAGGGGCGGGCGGGGCGCCGGTAAAGCTCACGTGCAAATCCCAAATCTTCAGTCCCGTGAATGAAAACAGCGTGCCGCAAGAGAGTGTTGTGGTGACAAATCTGGGGGGTGTCTGAGGAAGGGGAATATGGAGGGTGAGAAGGAGCTAGCCTGCAAGCAGGGTCAGGGCTAAGCAGCTAGAGGCCTGCAAGCCAGGCACTAGAGAGGCTGGTTGGCAGATTTGCCGCATTGAAGGGTTTGGGCCTATTCGGGAGCCGCTTGGAAATCCTGCAAGCATCTAATTTCATTGCAGTTACACCCGAGCTGTGAGGGACTGGAAAGCCACAAGTATCCCCCAGTCAGGTGCAGAGTCTCAGGTGGAGGAAGGCCACTGAGCGGGCAGTGGGCGTCATAAGTAAGAGTCCCATCCTTACACCCCCTACCCCCACAGGTGGGACCATGTGAACAAAGGTAAATGACAGCCTTGAACAAACAAAGCAACTGTCAAGTGAAGCTCTCCTGAATTAAGGTGGCACAGACGAAGTGGGGTGACGGGGCCCTCACAGCAGGGACGGCAGGCTCCAGTCAGCAGGGTCGGCAAATAGGTCAGCTGCCACGGGAGGCCTCAGAGTGTGTGCATGGGCACTGGTGGAGCAACCCAAGGGCAGTTTGAGGACGCCTTTGTTAACACTGTCTGCAGGATTCAAAAGTGGATCCAGTCCATGCTCAGAAACAGGCTCTGGTTCCCCACCCGTCACCTGCCCGCCCTCTGTGATGACTCTCTTTTTTTTTTTTTTTTCCAGAGATTTTATTTATTCATTTGAGACAGAGATACAGAAAGAGAGAGCATGAGCAGGGGGAGAGCAGAGGGAGAGGGAGAAGCAGGCTCCCCACTGAGCCAGGAGCCCGATGCGGGGCTCAATCCCAGGGCCCTGGGATCACGACCTGAGCTGAAGGCAGATGCTTAACGACTGAGCCACCCAGGCGCCCCGATGACTCCTTTTTTAAAGATTTTATTTATTTGAGGGGTGCCTGGGTGGCTCAGTCGGTTGAGCATCTGCCTTCGGCGCAGGTCGTGATCCCAGGGTCCTGGGATTGAGTCCTGCGTCGGGCTCCCTGCTCAGCGGTGAATCTGCTTCTCCCTCTGCTGCTCCCCCCCTCAGTTGTGCTCCCCACCCCCATCAAATGAATAAATAAAATCCTTTAAAATATATATATATTTTTTTTATTTGAGAGCACAAGCAGGGGCACGATCCCAGGACCTGAGATCATGACATGAGCTGAAGGCAGATGCTTCACCGACTGAGCCCCCCAGGTGTCCCTGTGATGAATCGTGACTTGTTCATCCTTTCTTTCTTTACGAAAAGGCAAGCAAATGTGAACAGGTATTCTCATTCCTTTCCCTTTATTATTCATAAGACTGTTCCTGTGCTCTGCTTTTCCTTAATGCCATGCCCTGGAGTACTAGCCACACCCACCCCGAAGGCCCTTTGAGGGAGACCCATCTTTCTGCTGGCCTGGTACCCATATGTGTCTATTCCTGCTGTTGTGAGTGTTCCTGGTGGTCAGCGCCTTTCCTGGGAGCATCCGACTTCCCTTTGGGATCCGAGAGCAGGCTTGCTCCAGGTGTAACAGCAGGGAGGGCTTAGTAACTTGACATTGCATGAACTGTGCACCCCACACGATAGTCCAGGACAACAGTCAGCTGGTATAAAGAGTGAAAAGCACATTTACCTTCGTTTACTTTGGGAATGGGTTCCATGAGGCCTTTTGTCTTTGTGGTGGTTTTCTTTTCTTTTTCTTTCTTTTTTTTTTTTAATTCGGCTCCACATTGGGTGTCCCAACATGAGGCTTGAACTCAAGACCCTGAGATCAAGACCTGAGCTGAGATCGAGTCAGACGCTTAACCAGCTGAGTCACCCAGGCACCCCATGTAGTCTTCATTTATTAATATTAAAATATTCTGTGGGTAAGAATATATGAGGCTTTGTGGGATAGAGGAATCTGATGTGGACCCAGCCCTGAAGGGCTTTGCAACTCCATTTGTTGGGGAAGACAAGGTATTACCTTACATAATAGACGTGTGTGAGGTGAGCTTTGAGAGCTTGGAGGACCAGAGCAGGTGGTGGGGCAGTTAGGAGCAAGGGCACCCTTGGGAGGAGCTGCTGTTGGAGGGCAAGGATAAAGAGGTCCGCCCCGCCTGATCAAGGGGCACAGACAACACAGGGGCTGACGACAGCCACTGTCAGCATTTCACAGGTACCTTTTCTGTTTTATTTTCTCTGACCAGGTTGGATTGCTTATTTATAAACACACTTGTAAGGATGAACTTTTTACATCATGTATCTTGCTCATTTACTTTCAGGAACTAACTCAAGAATTATTTATGCTGTTATGTAGCCTTTGTATACATTTATTTATTTGACAGCAAGAGAGAGCACAAGCAGGGGGAGGGGTGGAGGGAGAGGGAGAAGCAGGCTCCCTATTGGGCAAGGAGCCAATTCAGGGCTCAATCCCAGGACCCTGGGATCATGACCTGAGCCAAAGACAGACGCTTAACCGACTGAGCCACCCAGGTGCCCCTTTTGTATACATTTTTAATAACTGTACTGTTCCAGGGGTGCCTGGGTAGCTCAGTCGATTAAGCATCTGACTCGATTTCAGCTCAGGTCATGATCTCAGGGTCGTGAGATCGAGCCCCAGGTCAGGCTCTGCACTGGGCATGGATGGAGCCTGCTTAACATTCTCCCTCTCCCCCTCCCTGCCCCCTCTCTCCCTCTAAAAAATAAATAAAAATAAACCCACAAAACTATACTGTTCCATTTGAGTGTGCTTGTATAGTTGGGCAGGTTTTTGTTTTCACTATTATAAGTAACACCATCAAGAGCATAAAACTTTTTCTGTATTTGGGAACATTTTCTTAGGAGGAATATCCCTAAAGTGGCACTACTAGATCAAGGAGGGACTCATTAAGGCCTGGCTCATTCATGTTTGCAGCTTCCAACACGGGCTAATACTGGTACCAGGTCCGTTTTATTCTTGCCTTCCTCCTGTGATTCTGTCCTGGGATCCTTCATCCTCTTGAATCAATAGACAGTATTAATCCGGCCTTTTCTTCTTACTGTCTGCTTGATGTTGCAGTTTACTGACTGCCAGGAGACTTCCTGAGCTCCCAGCGTGATGACAGGGAGGTGTAAGAAGAGGGCAGAGGTGGCTAGGGGTCGGAGCTTGTTGGCAAAGAGCCTGGATTTTACTCAGGTGCCTTAGGAGGCCTTGGATGTCATCAGGTTTCTGTTTGAAGAAGACAACTCCGCTGAACGGAACGTGGCCATGGGCACGCGTGGAAGCGAGGAGGCAGAAGCACTGACCAGAAAGATCTGTTTGGGTGGCTTCTGGATGAAAACTGGCACATGCCAGAGGAGCAGACACAGCAGGCACCGAATAAATGGTAGAACTGTTTTCGGTGACAGGGAGTGATAGCGAAAGGTGGTGGGAAGGCCTTCGCTCCCAGGTGGTCAGCAGGATGAGCAGAAGCCCTACCTGGATAGGGAAGTGAGTGGACATTGGTCCTACCGCTTTCCCACGCCGCTGTTTGAAGGCGATTCTGGGAGGGTGGCTGGACAGTGGCGGTGGCACTTCAGTGATTGGGCAGCGGGGTAAGGAAGTCCCATCCCTGAGCTTCAGGGAAGAGCAAATGCGAGTCCCTAACAGTGGCCCAAGGAAAGGGGGCGTCGGCCTCCGGGTCATTTCCCACCAGCTCCCTCTGCCGTTCTTTGATGAGGACAGTTACATGTTATCACTCTTAACGTATGGCGCTGAGCAAACTCAGCTGCAACACAAGGCCCCGCACTCCTTTCCCGCGGCTCACCGCATCACCTGTCCGCGCACCCGAGAGCACAACGGGCCCTGGCAGGAGGCTCCGCCCCCGCGCCTCGGTCCCGCCCCTGCCAGACGGCAGGCGCTTCCGGCTCCGCGGTGCGAGCTCCGCCCACAGCTCCCGGGGCTTCCGTTCCTGGGCTGTCACTTGGGGCTCCGCCCCTGGGCTGTCGCTCGAGGCTCCGCCCACGCAAGGCAATTCGGGGCCTCCGCGGCTGTCACTTGCGGCTCCGCCCAATACGGGCGGAGTCCCCGCCCCGCCCCGCCCCCAGCCTAGCGCTCTGGGCGCGTGCGCGGCCTGCCCCGTCCGTGGCTCCAACCTGCGGAGCCCACGTTCTTCCGGGGGCGCGCGCGCCTGTGCGGGTGCGTGCGTGAGCGTGCGTGAGCGTGCGCGTCCCCGCCGCCTGTGCCGGTGCTGCTCCCGCGCCCTCTGCCGCCGCGGCCCCTGCCCCGCCGCCGCAGCCGCCGCCGCTCGGGGTCCCCCAGACGCAGCCCCGGCTGAGGACCGCGTCGGCCGGCTGCCCAGCAGCGCCGCGGAGCTGAGGAGCGGAGCCGCGGAGCCGGCGGGAGGGCGGGCGGGCGGACAGGTGAGCTCGCGGCGGGCCCGACGGGCCTCCCGTCAGGCCGGGACAGTCGGCGCGGGCCGCGGGGGTCTGCAGGGGGCGCGGGGTGAGGGGCGCGGGGGCCGCGAGGCGAGGGAACCGTGGGGCGCGGGGCGGCGCGCCCGCAGTCGGAAATGGCGGGGACCCTCCCTCCGGGTCGGGGGCGCAGGGCGGGGGCCGGCGGGGGGGCGCTTCCCCGGAGCGACCGCTGTGGCGGCGGGGCCGGATGGGCGCTGCGGCCTGGAACGGGGGACGGGCAGGAAGGCGCGCCTCCCGCGCGCTCCAGGCCTCGCGCGAGCCGCGGTCGGGGTGACCCGAGGGGTCTGTGCCGGCCGACCGGTGCCGGGGTGCTCCCGGGGTCCGCAGTTGGGTCGGGGCACGACCCGGTGTGGGCGCAGCGCCTCGGAGCAGCCTGCGTTCACATGTGGGTGGGTGGGTGGGGCCGCAGTCCCGGCGGGGGGGGGTCTCACGGTCTGCGCCGAGCTCCCTGGTCCATCCCCCATTCTGCCGGATCGTGGTCAGCGCGCGGCCTTGCCTCCGCCCCCGCTGTTCCCGTGACCGACCGGAGGGTCTTTTCCTTCCTGGGGGGGCGGGGGGAGGGTGGTTGAAAACCGCTGCTTTGAGGGAACCACATCATCTGGTCCCTGGGTCGTTATGTTATAGGCCGGGGGACTGACATTTGTTCCTTAACGCGCTGTAAATTAATCTCTTAGATTAAAATGATTTGGTTTGCAAGAATAAGGTTATATCGAGCCATGATTTTCAGCAGTGCTTTGTGTTGTAGTCTTTGAGGAGACAGTATTGGGAACTCATCCGTTCAGGTTCTAACTTGTTTGTGTCAAGTGGCTGGATTAAGAGCTCCCTTTTTCATGTGCCTGACAGATGATTTCTCAAAATTCGTTCAGTTGTGTCATACAGGAAAAGGAAGCAGAAGTTTCAATTTTATTTTGTGTTTTCAGGTTTAGGCCTGATAAGGGACATTTTACTTGCTGGTCATGGCCTAATGGGTCCTGTGTTTGAATTGTTAGACACCTTTGTCCTTAATTAGTTGTTTGGTGAAAAAAACCATCTTAATGCCAAAACAGTTATATTGCCCCAGCTATTAACATGGTTGCCTAAAGGCAAAACTCTAGCCAGTGCTTCTAAGATTTTACGTTCATTTATTTGCTTCTTTCTCGTTAAGTATCCTGCTGGGTTTCAGGATTGAGTAATCTGTTAAACAGGAGATGAAATTGGAAGCCAGGATTTAAGGGCTTTGGGAAACTTTATCATTTAGTGTATGCGGTCCTCCTTTCACCTGTGTCAGGGTTCTGGTACTTGGGGCAGCTCCTGATGGCACGTGGCCAAACCAAGAGCTATAGGAGCTGGTTCTGGCTAGCTGACTGTGTGGCTGATCTGTTTGTGTGATCCAGATGGCCTTTCCCCCCAGTGGTCATTGTGGGTGGTCATTGTTGACCAGCATGGGACTATCAGGGAGATGTGTGTTGCAGGACCCTCAGAGCCCAGCCCCCTTTGGCCCTGGTCTAAGCAGAGCGCCCAGGGCTTGTGTGGTGAGCAGACACTCAGACAGGCGTGTGGTGGATTCTCTGAGCCGTGCTGAGGGACTGGCTCCACTGTGGAGCCAGTGTGGCCTCTGGGATGCCTGTCAGGCCTCTTCCACCCCTCTGTGACCAGCCTCCTACCTTTGGCCCTCTGACCCGCCCCTCCCCTGCCTCATCAGCCTTCTTGCTCGTCTCTCAGCAAATTCTGTGTCCTCCAGTCTGCCTGGAACACTCACTTCCTCATCCTCACACTCCATGGGGCCAGGCCTTCCCTGACTACCCTACGTAGGATTTCAGCTTACCACCTCCTGTCTGCCTGCACTCCTTAATTTTCCTACAGCATTTGCTTTAGTATATTAATTATATTTGCTTTTATACTCTGAGATGAGGTCCATAGGGAGTCTGTTTCGTGTGGAGAACTGTTGCTGGCACAAACCAGGAAATACTTGTTGAATCAGTGATAGTGATGAGCTTAGTGACTCCTGTGCAGCACAGTGACTTTGTCACTTGGGGTCATTGTGAGTGAGTCCTGAGCACTTACAGGCTCTGGGTTCTGAGGGAAGTGTGTGGCGAGCCACCTGCCCATTGGGAAAGGACAGCCAGTTAAATGATCAGAGAGGGGCTTGAGACCTCCCTCTAAATCTTTTTTGCAATTTCTAATTTAAATTATTTCAAAATAAAAAGTTTTTAAAGTCAGATCTGGTAATAATGCTTCTAGAAATTTTGTCTTTGGTTACTCTCTTCCCTCTCCTCGAGGACCATTCTTCCCCCCCCGCCCCCGAAAAACCCCACATGCTAGTCTTAATACTTGGTGACATTTGTTGGTTAAGTGGATTGAGATGGAGTAATCTGTTAGAAGAACTACATGGAGTGAGCCTCAGCCTGAGACTCACTGCTCTGATGCTGTGCAGAAGCAGGCTGAGTCTTGCCTGTGAACTGAAGGGCTCTGGAGCCCTTCACCTCATGCCCCTGTTAACTCAGAATGAGGGAATTCTCTTGTGTTTCTAAGGCTGGTTCTATTAATTAGGGTGGTGTAGAGATTGAAAGGATGCTGTATGTGTCTTAGCCATTTTTGTTCTTGAGTCCTCCAGCATGCAGTGGATAGGTGGCACTGTGCTCAGCTGGGAGCTACCCTGGAGACCAGTGCCTTGCTCAGTGTCAGACCTGGAACTTGAAAATTTAGGCCTTCTGTACCAGTTCCTCTACTAACCGCCCACCTGACACCACCGTGCAGAATCCCCTAACATGCCCCCCTGCTGGATGGTGCATCTTTTTTTTTTTTTTTAAGATATTTTTTATTTATTTATTTGACAGAGAGAGAGAGAGCACAAGTAGGCAGAGTGGCAGGCAGAGGGAAAGGGAGAAGCAGGCTCTCTGCTGAGCAGGGAGCCCGACGCGGGGCTCGATCTCAGGACCCTGGGATCATGACCTGAGCCGAAGGCAGGCGCCCCTAGATGGTGCATCTTTAGAACCTAAACGTGAGGTGCTCACCTTGGTCCTGGGGTGTAGTACAGGCTCACTAGGTGTTTGTTGAATAAATGACTAAATTGCAGTGGAGCTGGGGGATCCTGATAAGATAGAATTTTGTCGGGGCGCCTGTGTGGCTCAGTCAGGGAAGTGTCTGCCTTTAGCTCCGGTCATGATCCTGGGGTCCTGGGATTGAGTCCTGAATTGGGCTCCCTGCTCAGCAGGGAGCCTGCTTCTTCCTCTCCCTTTGCCTGCCACTCTCCCTGCTTGTTCGTACACAAGCACGCTCTCTCTCTCTGTCAAATAAATAAAATCTTTTTTTTTTTTTAAAGATAGCGTCGGGGCTCCTGGGTGGCTCAGGTCATGATCCCAGGGTCCTGGGATCGAGCCCCGCGTCGGCTCCCTGCTCCGCGGGGAGCCTGCTTCTCCCTCTCCCACCCCCCTGCTTATGTTCCCTCTCTTGCTGTCAAATAAATAAATAGAATCTTTAAAAAAAGAATTTTGTCTAAGGTGGGAGTTGCTTCTAAAGTCAGGGAGTAAAATGAGCACGATATACACAGATACAAACACCCTTGAAAAATTCCTTAACTCTTATAAAGTACCCTGTACAGTTTTGGAATATATAATGCCGTAGGCAAACAATGTCTCATCCAATGAGTGCAGCCAGTTTTCTAGTCAAGAGACAGAAAGACCCCTGTGTCTTCTGGGGACTGGTGTCAAGCTTGATGACCAGTCTTTGCACAAGTGGAGAGGAGGCTCTTAGCCCTCAGTGGTGCTCTCGTGAGTCTCTGGGTGCTCTGTGGATAGCAGTTCAAACTACAGTATTCCTCAAATGAGGCTTATGATGATGTTGTGATTGGGTCGTTAGATCAGAGCATCCCTGTGCTGCAGATGTCCCTCCTGTGGGTGAGCAGAGTCTGTGCTAGGCTTTCCTCCTGAAAATGACAAGACTAGGGCTCCCATGACAGGGGCCTCACTAAAATGGGGGTCACAGTACCTGCCCTGCCTGTCTGTTGGGGGAGTAGGGGGTGATAAGTGGAAAGGTGTCTCATCAACTCCTCCCTAAATATAAGTGACAGCAATGCTGGAAAATGGTAGTAGTTCTATTTTATGAAAATGCTACCCCTAATTAAGAGAGGGAATGAACGCCTTTACTGTCCTGACACCAGAGCTGGCTCTCAAATAGTGACCTCCTCTGAAGAGGATTAGCAGCTGGTCTGTTATCGGTAGCTCGGGAAGATTTAAGGATTAGATTACCAAACAACCTTCAGTTTAGATTTTGCTTTTCATCATTCTTTGCATTGATTTTGTTTGAGTACATTGTATGTTTGCAAGCATATTGGTAGTTAACACTGAAATTGCAGAAATGGAGTATAGCATCTATCTAAAGAGAGAAGTATGTAGTGAGACCAGGTGTAGGATGTCACTCAAAATACCATCTTAATCTGTTTCCTCTTTTTTTTTTTTTAAGATTTTTTATTTTTTATTAGAGAGTACAAGCAGGGGGAGCGGCAGGGAGAGGGAGAAGCAGGCTCCCCGCTCAGCAGGGAGCCCAACGCGGGACTGGATCCCAGGACCCTGGGATCATGACCTGGGCCAAAGGCAGACACTTAACCAACTGAGCCACCCAGGTGCCCCACTCTTTTTTTTTTTTTTTAAGACCTGTCTATATAGGGGTGCTTGGGTGACTCGGTTGGGCATCTGACTCTTGATTTTGGCTCAGGTCATGATCTCAGGGTCCTGGGATAGAGCCCCACATCAGACTCCTCTCTCATCAGGGATTCTGCTGGAGATTCTCTTTCTCTCTCTCATATAAATCTTAAAAAAAAAAACACAAAACCTATCCATTTATTTTTTAGAGAGAGAGTATGTGTGTGCGAAGGGGAGGGGCAGAGGGAGAGAGAATCCTTGAGCAGACTTCCCACTGAGCGCAGAACCCAACGTGGGGCTCCATCCCCGGACCCCAAGATCATGACC